GTGTGTGTGTGTGTGTGTGTGTGTGTGTGTGTGTGTGTGTGTGTGTGTGTGTGTGTGTGTGCACGCGCGCGCGGGAGGGGGGCAGGGAGTCGGCAGGGGCGGACTGGGGCGGACTGGGGCGGACTGGGGCGGAGCGGGGCGGAGCGGGGTGGAGGGGTCCGGGACTTTGAGGGTTGCGGTCTCGTGTTTGCTGCAGGAGAGTTGCTGCGGCAGTGTATGAGGAAACAGCTCTCCTGGCGCTGCAGCGCGGGGACGGGGGCGCAAGGGGTTGGTTGGGGGCGCCCGTCCGCGCTGTCGGCTGGCCCCGCCGCTAGGCGCGCCGTGTGGGCGAACGGCTCGAGGGCGCCCGAGGCCAAGGGGCCCGCGCCGCGCCCCCAGCCAGCGCCTGCTGCCTCGTGCGGCGCCCCGCCCGTTCCCCAAGACAGGAGCAGCCACTTGCTTGAGCTCACGGCACAAGTACCCAGACCTGAAAGCCATCCTGAACCCTGAACTCGAGCTGATAGTCCCAGTACCCCCACACCCCCGTCCGAGCCGCTCGCAAGCACACACGCCCAGTCGCCGCCTCACCCCGTCCGCCTCGAACCTATCCTGCGTGCCACGCTGCCCCCCTCCCCGCAAACAACCCCGCGAGCAGGTCAGTGGGCGGTTGGAGGAGGTGCTGTCTGTGAAGAACGCCACCATACGCGCACTGCAGGCCGACGTGGCAAAGGTGTGGCGCCGCCGCCGGGCCCGCAACCACTCTCACTCACGTGTGTGCGGCGCCGCCACGGCGCGCCGTCCCAGCCCCCGCCCGCTTTTCCTGTGTTGGTAGCGCCGACACGCGCCAGTCCCCCCGCCCCCTCTGGGCTGCCGCGCCCGACGTGCCCCGCGGCCTCTGCTTTGCCCCGCCCTCCGCGGCGGCGCCAGGTGTCCAAGGCCCACAACGATCTCATCCGCGTGTACGAGGCGAAGCTAGCTCAGTTTGGGGTGCCGCCAGAGGAGCTGGGCTTCAGGCCGCTGGTCACCACCACAGCCCTGGGGCCCGCGGGGCTGGTGTCCGGCCAGTGACTCGTGTCCGGCCGGTGACGTGTCTGTGCTGCCAGGGCCGGCTGCTGGCCGCACATTACCGGGCCCCTGACCTGCGTGTGCCGCGAGGGGCGGCTGCACACCCCCAGCCCCCTATGCACATGCTCGCTCAAATGTCATGTCTTGGCCCGTGCTGCAAGCCGCAGCGCGGAGCGGCCCGGCGCCGCGCCAGGCGCGAGCGCATGCAGGACGGGGAGGGGGGGGGGGCTGCGGGGCACGGCAGTGGTGCGCCTGCCTTTGTTAAAGTGGGAGATGTTTTGCGCTGAGTTATTGTGGTCCAAATTTGCGCCGGGCTCTGCCCATTTTGTTTCGGTGTCGGCCTGCGCCATGGCCACGCTTCATTTTGTTTCCCTGCGCGTGCAGCAAAAAGAAACGTGTTTCGCCGCCGTTGACAGCCTCGCGCACCCATTCCTGCTGGGCTGCTGCGTGCACCATGCACAAGGGCACCTCCTTTCCCCTTCTGCCTGTCCGCACGTCTTCCGCCGCTCAAACCCACGGGTGTGGCTCTCAAATGTTACCAGACCCACTCAAGCATCACAGACCCGCGCCCAAAAATTCCTATCCGTATTCGTGGTTCGTTGGTGGGCGCGCCGTGCAGCAGCGCGCCGGTTCGAAGCCCGCACACCGGTGCTGCTGCAGCAGAGCGGGCAGGCGAGGACTGCGCCGCCCGGGCCGCCCCTCATGCCCCCAGGATTCATGGCCCGGCGAGCGAACCGCCCGGAGGCGGGAGGGGTGGCGGGGCCTGGGCCGCAGACAGCAAAGGGCGGGCGAGGTGGCGGCGGCAGCGGCGGCGGCGGCGGCGGCCAGCGCTGCGCGCAGCATTCTTGGCTATGGAAGTGGCCGTGCGTGCTCTCAAGGGCTGCACGGGGCGCCGCGGCGCGGGGCCGCGCGGCCAGGGTGCGGGCGACACAGGCGCGTGCGTGGCGCGCATTGTTGCGCGGGCGGGTTCGCGCCGGACGGGGTTGTTGAGACGGGGTATTGCCATCGCACCACAGCAGTGGAACCGCCCTTTCAGAGCGCTGCCCATGCTTCGACCGCGCCGCGAGCGCCACGCCCTGCCCATGCCTTCCGGCCGCGCGCCCCCCCGGTGGGAGCACGAGGCGCGCTGATGTGGCGGCGATGCGGGGGGCCAGTGGGTTGCGCAGCTAGGGCGCCGGGGCGTGCGGTGCAGGGTCAGCTGTGGATAGAGCGGATTGCCTGCGAAAAGTGTGTGTGTGATGTGTGTGTGTGAAGAGGGACGGACCACCCCGCCGTGGCCTCGAAAGGACGAGGGGACGGGCGAGCGCACCGGCCCTATTGCAAGCAACAGACATAAGGCTGTGTTTGCGCCGTGAGGAGGTTGATGGTCGACTGTGCGGGTGGGACCGACGCCCGGGGCCGCGGCAGGGCAAGCGGCAAATAGCCGCATGGGTTGGGCCGCACCCGCCGCGGCGGCCGCGCGGCTGCAGCGGCGGACCGTGGTCTGCGCACACGCGGCTGGCGCGCGGTGCGGCGGGGGCTGGGGTCCCGCGGCTCTGGGG